ACAGAGGCAGGCGCTGAGCGGGAACCATGCATGGACCCTCCTTGGGCACAGGGCAGGTGGTGCTGTAACTGCCCTCACACATGCCCACCCCCTTGCAGGACCCTGGCACTTACTGCTGCTCCCCCATGCCCCAGCCAGACCCATGGGCATTCATCCCTGTGCCATCAGGAATATGGTGGCACAACAATCAGTGGCTGACCCATGGCTCAGTGCATCCCGCCCTACGCACCCCTAGCCCCACAAAAGTGCCATCAGCACTCACTCATGACCAGCCTTGCAGCCACCCTGCAGCCCCACAGGACACTGTGCCCCAGGCCCAGGCACTGCCCAGCACTTCCCAACACCCCCAGCAAGGTGTTGCCAGTGCCACCAGCTGCCCCTACCCATTACATCCTCCTTGGTGCAGCTCAGCCTCCCCGGCTCAGTGCCAGCAGTGCCTAAGGGTCCTGCCCAGCACACCCAGCACAGGGGAAGTCTGGTTGGGACAGCCTGGCAGGCAGTTGGGTGCCTGGGCAGGACTCTCCCAAGATGACGGTCAGAGCAATGGGTGAATGCTGGCAATGCCTGTCGTGTGGCTCTGCCAACAGCTTAGCTCTGGAAGAGGTAGAGAACAGAGGAGGATGAAAGAGAGAAACAGCAACAGGACAGAGCTTCTCCAGAGTCACTGCAAGCAGTGAGTGCAAACTAGCCAGGTGGGCTCAGCCCTCAGTGGGCACCATAATGGCTCCAGCTGCTGCCCTGACAAACGCTCCCCTTACCTGGGCTCTTTAACAAGCTCATTCTCATGATCCTCCACTGGGCACAGCAGGAGAGAAGGGAAGAGACAGAGTCAGTCTGTGGTCACCAAGGACCAGGCACAGCAGGAAGGGAATGGAAAGGATGAAAACCTGACACCTCCCACCGACCTCCTGCCCCAACACACAGCCCTGCGCAGGCACAGGGCAGAGCACGGCCCCAGCCCAGCAGCACCACCATGAGCTCTTGCACAGTCCTGAGCAGCTTCCACTGGCTCAGAGGGGCCACACGGGACCACAGCCAACACGCTGGTGCCACGATGCAGCCTCTGCCAGGTTCCAGTTGCCCCAGCAAAGTCCAGCAGCCCTAAGGAACCAGTGCTGGGTCCTGCGTGAACTCACTGCTGTCAGTGCCTGTCAGCTGGGCCAGTCTGCAGAAGGAGCGGGACTGGGAGGTCCCAGTGCGGGGCTGCCAGCTCTGAGAGTCCTCTACAAGCCGTAACTTCCCAGGGTCACACACAGGGATGCTGGGGGACTCCAGTGGCTGTGGTGGCTGCCTGTGAGTGACAGAGGCAGGTGCTCAGCCAGCACCATGCATGGACCCTGCCTAGGCACACAGCAGTGACCCCAAAATTGCCCTCACACATGCTAACACCCTCTCCAGACCCTCACCACCAGCACGCACCATGGTCCCCTTTGGCCCCAGTCAGACTCACAGGCATCCCTGTGGCATCAGAAAAACGGCGGCACAAACTCAGTGGCTGACCCATGGCCCAGTGCATCCCCCCCATATGCTCCCCCAGCCCAATAGAGAAGCCAGCAGCATTCATTTTGACCAGCCTCCTGGCCACCCCCAGCTCCACAGGAACACTGGTCACCCTTACTGCAATCTGCAAGGCCATCTTGCAGCCCCACAGGATATTGTGCCCCTGGTCCAGGTACTTCCAGCACCTCACAACACCCCCAGCAAGGTGTTACCAGTGCCACCAGCCTCCTCCAGATCCCATTAGCTCAAGAAGCAACGGTGCAGCTCAGCATCCCCAGCTCAGTGCCAGCAGTGCCCAGTAGGTCCTGCCTGGCACACCCCGTTTGGG